ATTTGCTGCATAGGAATATATTTTGATGTAATCTATAAATATAAAATTAAAAACCTCTGAAGAGGCATAACAGTTGAAATATAACAAGAACAAGTTAAACTTCAAGACAAAATGAATCTACTTTCATGAATTAGTAGTACTAGTCTCTCTTGAGATATTTAGGAGTTTTTTAGTCTGGAAGCTAGGGTCTTGTAGATTATCCAGAAACATTTTTAACTACTAATAAAATTTTTGAAGAAAAGGAATTTTCTACCTGAGGCAAACTGAGTTCCTGGGGATGGTGCCTCTGTTTGATGATGACTGTTGTGTTTGGGATTCAAAAAGTATGAATATAGCAGAAATGTTTCTGTCACCAGCTGGTGGCCAACACAAAAGTTCAAAGATGACTGATGGAATAAATACTGCAGCATGTGGAAATCAGTGAATGAAGAGACTTGTCACTAAGGAAACATGAAAGATTACTTGCAAGTTGTCAAAGTGGAAATGAAGGAGGTTAAAAATATTAACAAAATAGCAACCTTGCTATGCTAAACTAACTTAAAAAAGAGTACTTGAAAAACAATAGAGAACAGCCAAGACGAGATTGGCTAGATAGAAACTCAACAGGACTATGGAAAAGACACAGCAGGAACTAATTCTCATTTGACAAGAGTCGATATGTGTCAACAAAGACTGGATGAAAGTGCTGGGTGTTATGAAGAAGTGATGGGAGTTGTAGTTCAGTCTCTTTGTATCATTCGATAATTAAGATAAATCCTGACAGAACATTAAGTCTTCATTTCTTCACCCAGTGGTTTGTAGCCATAAGAACCCTGTGACAAATGCCTGTCCCCGTCAATCTGATTGATCAACCAGTTCAAAGATCAGTCAACTTCGAAGGAAAATCATTTGAGAAAGATTATTATGCCCAGTTGGAACTAATTAGATAGATAACCTGAAAGCTGGTTGTATTTATTTCTGCAAATACAGAGGTTCTTAACCATTTTTTGTGTGTATCCTAGATCCCTTCTCAGAATAATGCATTTATAATAGAAGGAAATGTTAAATTTAAGTTAGAAGGTAATAAAAATTAAGATTTTTTTCCTATTCAGGTTCAAATATATTTATAGATTCTTTGACTCATTCCTGGTCTAAATAATTTATTTAAAAACAAAATTCATGTTAGTCCTTAAAGGTTAAGGATCAGATATCAACTTAAAGATAAGAAAAAATAGATACTGAAATTTACCAATCTCCTTTGGTTAAGATTAAGAGGGATGGGTTTTGCAGAAGATCTGAGATTGGATTATTTGGAGGTTACTTGCTTAGGGTACTTTGGGGACATAAGTATCATGAACTGGAAAGATATTATCTGTGTTAAGCTATTTTAAAAATATTTTGTATTATGGACTTAGGTAATATTAACGTTTTATACATAAAGAACAGAAAAAGAACTTTGTATATCAAACTGTATCCTTTCATTATATAAAATTTTAAAATGCGCATCAAATTTAACAAAAGTGCCCTGTTTGTGTCCACTTCTGCATTTGTTTATCTTTTCTGTTATTTTTAATATTTCATTGATGCTATCTTCTTCCCTTTTTTTGCATCATTATCACTACTCAGCCATCACCTCTCCCCAAAATAGAAGCCCTCTCTTATAATAAATAAGTCTAGTTAAGCAAAAGAAATTCCCCCAATAACCTTGTCTCATTCTGCACCTTCCCACTATATGGGAAGCATGCTTCACTCTCTTCAGTCTTCTAAAGTCATGATTGATTATTGCATTGATTAGAATTCTGAAGTCTTATTATCGTTTATGTTATTGTAGTTGTTTTTAAAAATTGTTTTAGTTTTTCACACTTTACTCTTTATCCATTCCTATAGTTCTTCCCAGGTTTCCCTAATATCTCCCCTCTGTAATTTTTTATTGTATAATCTCATTCGTATATCATAATTTGTTCAGCCATTCCCCAGTAAATGGGTACCTATATTGTTTCTGGTTTTTTGAAAGCCAGAATGAAAAATGACAAACAAGTGAAAAGTGATGTTATGAATGTTTTTGTACTTATGAGTCTTTTCCCTCTCTTTTTGACCTCACTGGGGGTATATGCCTAATCATAGCTGTATTGCTGAGTTAAGAGATATGCACAGTTTGTTGAGTTTTAAAGACAGTTTCTTGCAGATTTCATAATTTTTCTCACATAATGAAAGTAAAAGTGGCCTCTATAACCATATATTAGAGGACCCTTGGAACTTATCTTGGCTTATTTTCTTTTGTATTGAGGAGCATGTGGGAGAGGGGACAGAGCTGTAATTAATGCTTGAGGTTGTTCTGTGAATTGAGCTTTTCCCAGGGCACCAACGTGGGGTGGAATGTACCTTCTCTTTGAAAGGCCACATATCCAATTCATGGGATAACAATATCTTTATTCCACCTCCTGGACCTCTAAGAATACAAAGTGCCACCATCTCCTGCCCTGACTGCAGGATTCTGTCTGCCAAAGGAGCCTGACTACCCAACCACCCCTTCCTCCACCCTGCCGATTCCATTGTGGACAAGGATTAAACTCTTTAAACCAAACAGGTTGTGCCTTATTCTCTTGTACTGCACCCAAATTGGGGTAAGCTCTATGCCCAGTCTTCTGTAGCCTTTGACTTCCAGTGACTGTACAAACTCCTGTCAACAACTCAGAAATTGAATTTGAGCAGGTGCAGTTAGGGCTAGGTGCAGAAGCCACAGCCTTGGAATTATCCTAACTACTTCACCCTACCTCACCTCTTCCCCCACCACATATCTAATAAGTCAACAAATTGCCAAGTCTAATAGATTGTGCCTCTACAGCTCTCATAGCTGTCCCGTTTTCTCCACTAACACATCCACCACTCTAGTTTGTGTCCATTATCACCTCTCACCTCTACTATTACAATCTCTCAATTGCTCTCCTTGCACCTAGTTTCTCTCCTTTTTAATCCACACCCACATAGAGCTGCCAAAATGATATCCCTAAAGCACAGGTGTGATTATGTCATTACCCTCCTCAAAAAACAAAACAAAAGAAAACAAAACCCCTAGAACTTCCCTCTTTTGTCTGTGGGATAAAATTCAAGCCACTCTGTTTAGAATTTATAATCTTTTACAATCTGACTCTAGCTTACCTTTCTTGGCTTATTGTACATTGATCCCTTTCATATACTCCATATTCTGCTCAAATGCTATTTTTAATGAAGGATGTTCCACCTCCTCCCTTTGTGCCTTTGCATAGTATGTGCCTATGCCTGGAATGTACAACCCTTCTCATTTTTACCATTTTGTATCCCCAGCATCCTTGAAGACTCAACTAAAGTACCTCTTTTTACAAAAGTCTTTTCTGATCTCAGTTGTTAGTGTTGTATCCCCTCTGATTTTATCTTATGTTTACATTGTATATCTTTTCTACTTGTGATAATAATAATAATAATAATAGCTAACATTTACATAGTACTTACTATGTGCCTGGCACTGTGCTGAGTACTTTACAATTATTATCTCATTTGATCCTCACACCAATCCTGGGAGGTAGGTGCTATTATTATTCCCATTTTACATATGAGGAAACTGAGGCAAATAGAGGTTGTGACCTACCCAGGATCATATACTTAATAAGTATCTGAGGCCGGAATTGAACTTAGGCCTCCCTGACTCCAGGCCCAGTGCCTCTATCCATTGAACCACTTAGCTGCTCCCATGCACATATTTAAAAAATGTATATCTTGCTTCATTCATAGAATGTAAACTCCTTGAAAGCAGGGAGAGTTTTGGCTTTGGCTTTGTAGGCCCTGTACTTTGACTTTTTCTTGGCATAGTGTAGTAGCTACTTAATATGGTTGGTGGCTGATCATGTCCCTTCATGGTGTGTTGCTTTATTTCCATTATGTTATAGACTAAATCACATATCAAGTTTCTATTGACTTGCCTTAAAAAAGAAAAGAAAAAAAAGCATCTGCAAAATGAAGAGAACAATTCAAGAAAAGGATCCTAGAATGAACAGATGCAAAAACACTTAAGAAACAAATGTCACTATTAGGATGATTATTTGTGGAGATGATGTATGTATACATATACATGTGCATGTAACATAACGTTTGTTTTTCTAGAAGACAGCCAAGAAAATTCTTCTAAATATGGCAAATACCTATGTCTAAGTTAGAGGATCTAATGTAGATTTAGAGAAGGGAAGAAAATAATTTAGAAAATCGATAGTAAATATAGTGATCTAAAGAGAATAAAACAAATATACGAAAAGCAATTGTGATCCCACTGGGAGGTTGGTTATCAGGTCCAAAAAGTAGATATAGTTTTCCTGTGCATGGATTTTGGTCAAGTAAATATATACTGTTCACTCTCTTATCAACAAGGTTCTTTGGTGGGACAAAAGATGATGCTTTGCAGAATAAGAAAAATGACTTACAGCTCAAGTACACAGTATTTCAAAAACCTTTGATGATGGAAAACTCCTGTATACTCCCCATATAATAATATCCATGGACAGAATACTCAAAAAATAAAATCAGAAATTCAAAGGCAGCATGGCCTAAAGCCTTGGACTTGGAATCAGGAAGAAAGGGGTTCAAATTGTATCTAAGATATTTATTATCTGTGTGACCCTGAGTAAGTTATTTAACTTCTCTCTCAGTTTCAATTTCCTCATCTGTTAAAATGGAATAATAATATTGCTTATCTCATGGGGTTCTTGTAAGGAATATATGGTATATTGCATGCAATGCACGATGCAAATATCATTAAGTATCAAAATGTAATTGTGTTCTGCATATTTTAACATCTGGTTTTGACTACTTAATTTTATGTTTATTTAAATATAATTTGAAAAATATTTTATGTATATTTAAAGTAGGAGAGACAGTGGTAAAATACTACTCACTTTAGAAAATCCTCTGGACACCATTGTATTTTGATTTCATTTGGAATATATGCATGATTCAATTTCCAAAAGCCTTCCAAAGATGATATGAATTGTTACCTTGATGGCATTTAGGTACATGACGTCATGCTTTTTTTTTCTCAAAAGGAATTCATTCTCTTCCTTGAGATATGTGAAAAAGATTGTCTCTCACAGAAAATCTATGTCTTCAGAATAAAAATTATCTCTTTGGCCTGCATGGTTAATGATAATACAACAAAAATAAATGTTACTGAATTGCAAAATGTGAAAGTGATGCCTTAGGAATTAAGTATCTGAATAAATTTATTGATTTTTGTAAGATTTTCATGATTTTTAAAATCCTTCCTATCTGTGAATTTCAGATGTTTTTGTTCCTCACATTAAAAAATGAAATATCTGTGTATTACATAGAACAGGCTCATAGAATGCCTTGTTGCTGTAAACACATTCTTTCCGATGTGGTATTGAAATCTCTCCTAAGTAGTAATAACAACTTTACTGCTGTCTGCTGATTCTACTAACATAAAGGGATATAAAATATTATTGTTTCAGGAGCGAAGAGCAGGAGAGAAAGAGAGTTTGATTATGTGACATTATCAAGTTCTTGGTAGTTAAGAAATATTTCTGTGTATGCCACTGCAAAAGAACCATTGAACAATGGCGAATTAATTCAGCACCCTTATCACTGTCTTATTGAGAGAATACCTTTATTCAAATAGACTGTGTGTCTCTGTAATGACAGTTACACTAATTCACGTAGGACAGTTAGGTTAAGTCGCAAAAGAAAAACAAAATCTCTACATAATATGCTTTTATCAATAATATTCTGATGAGTTAACCACATTTAAAGAGTTGAAAAGTCATTCCTCCTCGAGCATGGTACATTTTACGTTTGCCATAGACAAGGCATGCTTCCTTCTAACCCCCACCAGATACGCAAATTAAAATACTGAAGTTAGATTGGCAGTGCTATTGTTACCTCGACTTCTTTCAAAGGGAATGGGATGTTTCTAGAAATCTAACTCATAAAGACTTTTTAAAAAGTTAAATCTTTAAAATGAAGTGTAGGTGTTATTTTTGTTTTTGTATTACAATCATTTTTGGATGCTCTTAAAATCAGGAAGACATGGGTTCAAATCCTGCTTCTGATATGTGCTAGCTATACAATCCTGGGCAAGTCACTTAACCTCTCAATGCCCTCAGAAATGCTCTAAGGCTACACATTTCAGGAAAAGTGCTGGCCTGCATTAATAGATTGAGTTTTCTTCCCTGGGAATTTCCTATGCCAGTGATATCACCAGATCTGGTCCCTGTCTCGATAAGTTACCCAAGAGGTGTGAACCTACATTGATAGAGATTCCTCACTGTGATTTCCCCTATCCCAAAGCTTAAAAATAAATAAATAAATGAAAACAAACATTGCATTAGCTTTTTTGGCAGGTATAACCCTGTGTCGATTCACAATTTATCATGTAGACACAAATAGATTAAATTCCTTGGTCTTTTTTTACCTGAACTGGTATTTCTTCATTTCAACACCTGTTTTGTTTGGATTTATGAATTTTAAGAAGGAAAATTTAGGTACTTATCTTTCAAAAATGGCCATTTTTAGATTGGCAGAACTCAGCAAATGTCTGAAGCAGGGCGTCCAGTGCTTCTAGCAATTCCTTAAGATTCAAGGTATTTTCAGGGCAATGCAGCCTGAAAAGACAGAAGCACATCTTATTATTCCCAGTTGTACACTTTTGTACTTGATGATCATGACAACTTGAAAAGCCTTAGGCACTGGATAATACCAGTCGGGAGAGAGAACATGGCCCAGGGCAAAGAGTACCAGACTGAAGAGTCAAAACTCTAGGATTTGAGTCTTAACTCTGCCTCTGTATCTGTGGCTAAGTTGCTTAGTCTCTCCGAGGCCCACATTCACCATTTGCAAAATGGATCCGATAATTGTTTTGAGTAAAGTGCTTTGTAAACTGTAGAGAGCTATATAAATATAAACGATTATTATTATTCATTATGCACAAAAGCAGCAGGGGAGTTCCACCTCAGTACCCTTTGCAATTCTTAACCTCCACCATAATGTTCCAGTTTAGACTTATGCTATACTCTCTACATTCATGTAAAAGGGCAAAAAGGAAGTGAAGGGGAAAAGGAAAAAAAACAAAACAAAACACTAGCCACCAAGGCCTTTGCCCATTCCTATATATGGTCCAATATACATCCTATCTAGATGTGTTCTTCTGCCACTTCTATTCTTCTAGAACAACTTTATGACTTTTCCTTTAACCCTTGGGAACCCTAATTTGGGTCTTGACCTGAGTTGGAGACCCAATTTACTATGATAACATGATTCTTTTTCTGATATCTTTTTTCTTGAAGACTGAAAAACTGACCTATCTCCAAACTGTTTTACCTGGCTCCTAGATTAAAAGAAAAAATTTCTTGAGTTAAGATATTTTAAAATATATTATTTTGATTCTATGAATCCAAATTTCCAGGTGTACCAAGGATATATTAAATATTTTAAAGTGCTTTAGCTAGATTAATTCAAGAAAATCAAGCATAATCAGAATAATCACTTGAGCAACTTCAAGAAGAGAAACCACATTGTCATTTATGTCAGAAAAATTGAGGGACTAATTTGTTAACTTCTCCTGAACCCAGGATTTAACATGTAATTTAATTATTGCTAGGTGACTTTTCTGCTATTGGGCACAATTTGTGTGTTTTTGTGCCAACAGTTTGTATTTTTTTCAAGGTTAAATTGGGTTATGGCATGTCTACCTCAGAACTCAGCTAGTGAAGAATCATAGGCATTTGCCCTGCGTTTATTAAGGGAGTAGTATAACCCTTCTCACATGTCAGTACTTTTATGGATGTGAGATTTCATTGGTGTGGGCATTGCTTTCCATGGTATAGAATGTGACCCATTTATACCTACTCATTCTGCTCCATTCATGTTCATGATCTCCCATAGATTTCACCCTAGAGTCTACCAGATATGAGAGAGATCTTCAAGGTTGTTTTAAAAAATATTCAAATATCAGTGAAGCACATGGATAGTCTAAATCTCACTCTTGTTGTGTGACCAATTTACTTTCTTTCCTTGTCAGTCTCTTTAATGATATGAGGAGGCAGTTTTGGTGTAGCAGAAAAAGCACAAGCTCTGGAATTAGAAAACCTAAATTCAAATCTTACCTCTAACAACCTACTACTCATATGACTTCGGGCATTTAGCTTCCCTGGGCCTGCAGTTTCCTCATTTATAAAATAAAAGGATTAGACTAAATGACTTCTGAGTGTTCCCCCAGCTCTAGATCTGTGATCCCATGGAGTATACTGCATCTGAGATGGTCTGCCCTAATGGAAGCTCACTACACAATAAAATCACATAATAAAGGACTTTCATGGCAGTAGATACTATAAGATGATAGATCAGATTTTGCTATAAATGTGCACATTTTAGTAGATCCAGGGTTTGTTCAGTATGCAAGGATTTTTAAGGATGAGTGGTTAACAACCATAGTGTTAAGCAACACAGAAATTCTTTGAGATTTTGACGTATTTTAGATAATACAGGCTCTCTAAATTCTTACATTAAAATGCATTTTTTTAAAATTTTTGAAAAAAAGAAACTCATTCTCGATTTAAGTCAAATACTTGATGGAATCCTTTAGTTCTAACAGACCTGTGTTCTACAATATTTTGAATCACGTAAGCCTGTGCTAAGATACCCTGCCTTAGACTCAGGAGCATCTGAATATAAAGTCAATGAACATTCCAATGGAAAATTCTTCAATTTTTTAAAATCTTAATTAAATATGGAGTATTAAGCATTGTGTTATCCATAGCTTACTAGTCTAATGACCAGAATCTCCAAGAAACTTATAATGAAGTCACTTTGTGGGTTATGCCACACTATCTATTTGTGACTTAAATAATTATAACTGTGCTTTAATGTACAGTGGCTTAAGGTTTGAAAAGCATTTTATATGGACTTCATTTGAACTTTAAAACATCTGTGAAATCATATATTATTATTCCCTTTTTACAGGAAACTCAAGCTCAGAGAGATTATACTCATAATCACAGAGGTAGTAAGCATCAAAGACAGGATCTCAACCTAGCTCTTCCTGACTCCAATCCTGTGGTACCATGCTCCTTCTCAAAAAGCAAGCATTTGTGTACATAGCAGGCTGCATATAGGTTTTAATATTTTGTCTGCTTTGTGTAATCATTCAAAAAATAAAACAATTTAATATTTGGAAAAATAGAGATTCTAATCTCAAGGGACTGAAAATCTATTTATTTAGTCTCTTTGAAGAACAACATGACAACTTAATCCCTTTTGCTATTATTATTTGTAAAGCAATGAAAGATATTGAACAAGGTGGAGCAACCCAATTTTCACATAAATAAGGTTAGGTAAGCAAAGTAATTATAGGAAGAATCAGAATATAAATGTTTTATCCCATTTAATTTTAATAGTATTTCAGGTTCATTTATGCAGATATTTAAAGGATATCTGATTATTTTTTGTATATGAAATATGACCATATTAAAATACTCATTATATTTTTATACATTAGATATGTAATCTGTTGTGTATTATGATATATAATAATTATATTATACATATTTATATATAGTAGAAATCATTTTTAAAGTGTTATTTATTGATGGGATTGTTGTTGTTGTTGTTCAGCTTTTTCAGTCATGTCTAATTCTTTGTTTTCTTGGCAAAGATACTGGAGTGGTTTGCCATTTCCTTCTCCAGCTCATTTTACAGATGAGCAGCTGAGGCAACCAAATGTTAAGTGACTTGTCCAGGGTCACATCGCCAGTAAGTGTTTCAGGCCAGATTTAAATGCAGGAAGATGAGTCTTTTTGACTTCAGGCCTGCTCTCTATCCACTGTGCTTTCTAACTGCTCAAAGAATTTATAAGTACATTTTAGATAGTCATTGCCTACAGTTGCTAATAGGAGTTTCCATAAAAAAATTACTTCACTTTGTAAGTTTTAATTTTCTTAGTAAGTAAACAATATATTTGTTTTTTTTTTAAAGCTTCTAAAAGATAGCCAAGATGAAAATCTCCAAATTGGGGGAGGAGGGAGGGAGGAGAAGAGTAAGTGGTTAATAGCTTGAGAAAGGCACACTTATCAACATAATGGTAAAATTAGCACATGAGTACATTGTACTTACTAATGCATCAAATTTGGGAGGCTTGGCCCTGGGTTCTTGAATATTATGCCACTACAAGTGCTGGCAAGTCCTTCCAAGAGGAAAACTCTGAGTATGATTCTGGCAAAATATTACACGTCTGTCATTCAGAAGACCATCACAGGTGAGCTCCGAGATACCCTTCACCAGAAGACTGACTACTGAAAAAGAATTATATAGAGTGCAGCAATTCACAAAGACAATCTACTAAGGCATAGGGGGATTTGGATCAGCATGGATGGAAGCAGTAACTACCCTCCTAAACTCACACAACTCTGAACTATTGAAATAAGAGCCCCATCAATCTGTTAGAAAACCTCACCACACAGACCATATCTTTGTGCACCACTGTATGGCTAATCTGTTCATCTTGACCATTTTAGTGATGAATGCTTTACATTTCATGCTATAGTTGACATTGGTGATCAGTACAAATCTTGAAGACAGCTGAAAGGAATATATCAGCTGGGCCACAGTATAGTTTACCAACAGCCTCCAACCTAAAACTCATGTTACAGCCCATGAAACAGAGAGAAAAATATTGCTCTTGATATTCAAATACTCATAGATTTCTTAATGTGAAAAAATAATGATTTTCATACTTTCATAATGATTTTTAATCATAGCTTGTATAATGCCTGTTGCTAAGTTAAATTCCCTTCTAAAATACCTATAGGTAGTTATTCCAGTAGAAATTTGATATATGGATAATTTGTTTGTGGAAAAGCAGTATAAGGGACTCAAAAGGCCTGTATTCACATACTATCACTGATTACTTGCATGAGTTTGATGAGGCCACTTAACTTCTATGGGCCTTGTTTTTCTCTCCTGTAAAATGGAGGGGTTGGACTACACAAGGTCTAAGGTCCCTGTCTACCAGTTCTGTAGCTACAATCCTATGAAATTATGTGACTGATATTATTTTTTTTTCTGAGATGATTTCTGGATTGTATATAATCTAGGTGAAAAATGAGATGGTGTGTCCTAAACCCATTTTAGTTATTAGCTTGCTTGTTGACCTGTATCTTAGCAATGAACCTATAAGCTGGATATACTGATTCTGATATACCAATTGTTACAGTGCTCTTAGAGGGGTAATTAGCAAGATAGTATGAGATGCGTAAAGAAAATGCTCCACTCCCAACACATGACAATTGCAATAGTAATGACAATGTATATGTTGAAAACTTTGTATCCTCGTTGAACTGTACTCTATAAAATGAATGTGCTTTTGTTGTGATTACCTGAAATAATCTCAAAGTAACAAAGCCAATTAGCAGTAAAGAATGATTGACTAGTAGGAGACTTTTGAATCAACTCTGCAAGAGATATAATGAAGTAATTTATGTAATGAGATGGTATAAATCATGTACACGAATAAATTTGCTTACTGAGGCACTTTGTTATCTTCTGATATTTAATTTTAAATTGTGGTTATGTGATAATAAACTACTTGTATAATTGGCCTCAGATTTTGTCAATGTCTCATGTGTTTGGAATCTTTGAGATGATTATTAACAAAAATCTTTTAACATATAGGTTTTCCCAAAAGTCTTAGTGCTATTTTAAGCTGTTAAAACTAAAATTCTACTAAGACTTTGGAGAGAGTATATGAAAACATATTATGAAAACATGCCTCACCTGTGTTGCTAAACAGATGAGGAGAATTAAACAATTACTTAAAAACCTCCCCAAAACAGTTCAATACTTCATGTATACTTGGATTTAGAATAAATCTTCATAGTTGTTTCAATTAGGGTCTTTCTACCTATTTAAAAAGTGAAAATGCTTTTGAAAATATTTATTTTTTAAAGGTTAAAATGCTCAATAACAGCAGAGTCTGAATATGTAGCAATATTTATTTTAATGGTACTGATACATTACATAGGCTCACTAGGTGAAGATGTTTTATGCACATAAAATGGGAAAATCTCATAGTGTCTCTATTAAAGTACTACGGATGCCATGATAATAATACTAATAACCATTTATACAGCATTTTAAAGTGTGCAAAGAACTTTGCCTTTACTATCTCGTTTTGAGCTACCTTAGACAACAATGTGGGGATAGGTACTTGAGGTATTTTTTATCATTATCCCTACTTTCCAGATGGAGAAATTGAGAGCTCAAGAGGTTAAATGACTTGCCTTTGATCAACCAGTTAACTAGTCAGAGGCAGGACCGGTCCTGGACTTAGAGATTGCAATGCTGCCATCTCTGCTGCCTTCACTTTAGTCAAAGCAACTAGAAGTCAGTATCACTGAAATACTATGATTATTATCAAAATAAATTTTTTTATTCTATATTCTAATTCTAGCAGTTTTATTTTGTATCATACGTTCTATTTAATCTTACCAAATCCTCGGAAAATTCAGTTATCTATATCAAGATGTTAGGGACATATTAAATCAAGTAAAAGTGGAAAAAATTTGTTCCTTTATATGATATATTGAATAATAGAGAAAGGGAAGAATCATTTTAAAATTTAAAAAAATGTATTAACAGCAGTTAGGTGCAAAACAAACACAGATGGCAGAGGATTTTATAGTTCTAGTAAGCTCTAGATTTAATGAATGAATATTAAAAAGGCTAGAACATATAAGCATACTAAGAATATCACAAGTAAGTTTGGGTTTTAATAAATCCACGATCATCTAAGAAGCTAGCCTTATCCAGAGAAATAATTTTAAGATTATCCAAACCATTTCCTATAAAAACATGACAGTGATTTTAATAAAGAAAGAAATTGATAAAACCATATATAGTTGAAAAACAAAGTGGATGAAAACATCTATTTTCCATGATATATCTTCAAAGTTACTCTAGAGGCCAATGACCTTGGCTCAGAATTGAGTGGTAGTAAAGATTATATTAGGCTACATTGGGAAAATCATCCCAAACTGCTCACTGCTGCTCCTTACACTGAAGAAATCACAGATCTAAAGAAAAAAAATAAATACAGGAATTTATTTCAAAACATTTACTTTAAAATGTTTGTTTCTATTGTAGGGAAGTGGGCAGATGAAAATCTCCATTACAAAGTGTGTTCTTTACTATGGAAACAAATAAGATACTATTTCAGACTTAAATGGATCAGAGAGTCACTGACTGGGAAGAGTAAAAGACCATCAGAGTCATCTTAGTCTAACCTCATTTTACTGATGAATAAACTGAAACCTAGAGAGGATAAATGACTTGCTCAAGGTCATGCAGTAAGTGGTAGAGGCAGGATTTGAACCCTGGTCATCTGATCCCAAATCCAGGGCTATTTCTGCAATATAATGTGGTCAAGAATCCCATAGAGAACATCTCCCAAAAGTGCCCTTCTTTCTTTGCTTAAAGCCCTCCTAGGAGGTGGCAGTGTGGTACAATAGAAAGGGAATTGGATTTAGATCAGAAAACCTGAGTTCAAATGCCAGCTCTGCTATTTAATGACTAGCTGATATTAGCCAAGTCACATAATCTTTCCAGATCTCATTTTTCTCAGACATCAGATGGGGTAGAGTTTGGACAAATGGCCTCTGAAGTCTCTTTCAGCTCTATACTTAACGTGAGGAGAAATCTACCACCTACTGAAGCTGCTCATTGAATTTTTATTGGGATCAAACTTTCAGTAACTCTTTCCTTACATAAAATGCACAGAAGTTGTTTCTGTAATTTCTACCCATTTCTCTGAACTCTACCATTTGGGGCCACACAACACAACCCATCTTTCATATTTTGGTCCTTCAAACATTTTAAATAGTTGGCATGCTCTTTCTTCTCCAAGATTAATACCCCCAGTTCCTTTAATTGTCACTTGTATGATACATTCTCCATTCTTCTTATCATTGAATCTAACAATTGAAAGGGCCTGTTAAAAGGAATCTTCTCCAACATATGCCCAGACAAAAATCTCTGCTACAAGATACCCAACAATTTATAGGAGAACTGTAAGAAAAAGATTCAACACCTCTTTTCTATTAAATATGAATAATTTAGAGAAATGAATTGCCAGACTCCTTGGGAAAACTTCACAGTCACTACTAAGAGGGAAAAGAAAAATAAACACAAAGTTTCAGAATATTAATAATATTTTTACCTATGCATCTTATACATTATAATTGTATTATAACTTCAGTCCTCTAGTGCAGACTGGAATCAGTTCTAGATTTTCCTAAGAACAGTTCCCCCTCCTCCCTGCAATACACAAAAAAGATAACAAAATCAAGGCTACATTATGAACCTATCATGTACATAAATTGTGTTGTCTCCAATATCTAAACATTTTAGATTGCCTAGTACAAAGACTTCTAAACAATATATGTATATATATATATATATATATATGTATATACATACACATATATATACGCACACAAATGATTGTGTTAATTCCTTTCTGATATACTTCCTTACTTTAGTCCATAACTCCATGAAACAACAACATCAAAGATTTGTAATGAGGCACCATCAGTTTCCTGTAGTCAAATTCCTGCGGCCAGAGCCTTTTGCTGGGGATGGCTGAGCTTTTGTTCCAGGACACGAAAATTTAGAGGCCTATGACTGCATGGTAAATGCTATTATTATCTTCATCTCAAGAATGAAATTGAAGTACTCAGAGCTAGACTCACAGTCACTCAGCTAGTAAGTGTTTGAGGCAGTATTTAAACTCAGTTCTTTCTGACTACAAGTCCAGCACTCTGTCCACTATACCATCTAGCCAACTCTAATAATATAATACAGAATCAAATTTTCAGTATTTCTGCTGCCAATTTGAGGGCAGCTATGTGGTGCAGTAGCTAGAGTGCCATGCCTAGGGTCAGGAAGACATCTTCCTGAGGTCAAATCTGTCCTCAGTCACAGCTTTGTGACCCTGGGCAAGTCACTTAATCCTGTTTGCCTCAGTTTCCTCATATGTAAAATGAGCTGGAAAAGAAAATGGCAAACCACTCCAGTATATCTGCCAAGAAAACCTCAAATGAGGTCATGAAGAGTCAGACACAGATGAACAACAATAATAGCCAATTTTGGTGATCATATCATAAATTATCTAAACTGTGTACCATGGATAAGTATACATATTTTTGTTGGAGTAACACAACAAAATATCTTCATATATTTTATGCATACACATTTCATTCCTACTACAAATGTTCAGCTAGTAAAATATTTTGCATATTATCATATTTTAATTTATAGTATCAAGGTTTTAGAGCTGGGAGGGACCTAAGAAGCCATCTATTGTATCCTTCTTATTTTATAAATGAAGAAGCTGAGACCCACTAAAGTAAGTTAGGTAATAACTGTCAGGCAGGATTTGAGTCCAGGTCTTATGACTCTAGAATGTGAGTTCTTTCCACTCTACCAGGCTGAGAATTTTTTAAAAACTATATTATACAGCTAAGTAACATAGTTAACGATGTTCTATTAGTTCAGTTGAAATCAACAAATATTTATTAACATCTGCTCTGTGTTGGAGATACAAAAACAGAAACAAGATAGTCCCTGCTCTCAAGGAGCTTGCATTCTGCGGTGGGGGTAGGAGGAGAGGGACAAGATTTACACAGTTAAAATATCTAAAAAATATTAATAAAAAAAGTTCTGTGTGGAGTTGTACATCAAACTAATAAAAACAAGGTTGTATTCAAGATGTATTTTATATTATAACAGAATGTTATATTAACATATTTATGACATACATGGTTGGAATAAAAGAAAGTCTATGTATAGATTGCCATATCATTGTTTTAAGTATAGGGTACTTAGCCTGAATTCTACATCTCTTTAAGATTTGAAACAATGCTATTCCTAAATAACAGCTTAAGATTTTATTAACCAATTAATGGCACATAGGTGGCACATTTCCCACAAAATTGGCACAGGAGTGAAGTTATTTTGAGGTACATATAAAGAAACAGAGCATATGGATATACAAATAAAACATATGGATCTCCATATGTTAAATATTTTCTGCAGGAAACCAAGCTATGGAATTGACAGTCAGCATAGTATGATGCTCTGGTTTAATTACAGAGTAGTATCCTTCATGTGGCAATGGCAGTAATATTGTTAATAAATTAAAGCTTACCAATTTCTTAACATCAAACCATAAGCAATACAACTACTTTTTACCATAATATATGAATTCTCTTCTTCCCCAACAACAACAACAACAACAACAACATAAACCTATGGTAAGAATAATAGAAAAGGAATCTCAACTCTTAAACTTAGTGAATTCCCAGCATCAAAAATGGAAGCTCCTTTATTCAGTACTTGAATATTTTTTAAAATTCTATTTTTTTTTTACTGGGGAATGTGTTAACATCTGTACCCATTATGATGGCTTCACTAGTATGCCTGTGTTGGAACACCTAAACATCAACATTTCAACACTCACAAAGAAACCACATCTTGTAGGTGGGAGGTGACAAATAATGACAATCAATTTCACATGTGATTTAATAGCAGTTTGGATAATTGGTCTGACAGTAGAATGAATGACAGGAAAAGGAGTTATCCTAGAATAATTGAATTTTGTATGAAATACATATTTTTTGTTACTTATTCTCATAATGCTGTCATGTAGCGGGAATATCTGCCTCCTGTAACTTGAAGCCTTTCCTTTCATATGTTGCTGAAGTACTGACTTCCAACATATTAAGGTTTTCAAAATGATTGTTTCTCATCTACATTTCAACCTTTATCCATTCTTGAGAACAGCATAAGAAATAGTAGCTTCTTCATTCTGTCTGTTTTTCATTTCCCTTTTCAGTAATTTTGTTCTTCATTCATCTTTAAATTCACCCAATCCTGGCAATTTTAATCTGGAGGAAATAATTTTGTAAAAGAAATAAATGCCTTTATTTGCTTTAAGTCCATCAGTCCATATTATCTACTGTCCTAAATGAGGTTGGAATTACCCACATTTTGGATAGTTGCCAGCCTAGCCAGAGCAAATATATTAAAATCAAAGCTAAGCTGCTTAAAATATTCATGTTTTTGCTCTTATGATGCTTTCAAGAAATGTGAAACCATTTAAGACTTGCAAAACTGTTACATGGCCCCAAAATGTCTTTGGACTGCCAGGAAAAAACTTTAAATGACTAGTGCTAACTTAGTTTAGTAAGGAAACATTTTCAGAGTCTTATTAGCTGAGATTTATCTATTCTAAAACATAAAATTCATTTGAAATTTTCTAGTCATGAGGGCAATAGACATAATATTCTTTTCAGATATCAACTAGAGAAGTGGGATGTTTGTGTTAAGGATGTTGACTTTCCATATCAATGTACATTCTCTTCTCTGCTTTATACGGTATTCTCTTCAGTAGTCTGTGCTAAATTTTTATTTTGTTAATACATTTTTGTCATGCTATATGTTAATATATATGCTATGTGTAATGTTTATATAATCAGTTTGTCTTTTTTAAGTACTGGTGACAACATAATATAACAATCTTTAATTAAAAAAGATAAATATGTCCTATATGCAGCTTTTGTTCTTATTGTCACAGAGAAGAAGGGAAAGGAAAAGGAGGAAAACAGAGGAAGAGGGAACCATTCTACATATTTACTAACTAGATGATACTAGGCAAATCTCTTAACTTCTCTGAGTATTTGATATCCTCATCTGTAAAATAAGAATTAAAATATTTGAAATGACTACCTCACAGGGTGAAGATAATGAAGTAGTATCTATAAATGACATTTTAATCCTGATCATACACAGGCACTCTTCCCGATCCATCATGCCATGATAGAGAAGGGAAAAAATCAAGGTAGAGTCAGGAAAGTGATTATCCAGAAATAGCCATGAGTATTCTTCCTACTTTAAGTAAATGATTTTCCACCCTGAATGTTCTTTAAGACACTGCCCTAAGGGACTTATGACTTCCTGATAGATGAAACAATCTTCAAATGAGTAATGGAATTCCTTGGATTGAGTAAAAAGATAAACTCCTTACCTCACTTTGAATTCTACTCTTTATTGAATAAAGCTAAATTAAGATCCTAGAACATACACTGGCTGGATTTGGTCTGGTTTTCCTTCTGAAAGTCACAAATCTAGTATCAGATGGGCCCACAGAACTTGAGGGTAGGAAGGCACTTTAGACATCATCTAATCTAACTTCTTTATTTTACAGATGAGGAAACTGAGACCCAGAAATTTTGTGGACTTAATCAAATTGACACATTAAGTTAGTAAATTACTGGGATGAAAGCTCAGCTTTCCTGACTCCTAATCTAACAAAGGAGTCTTTCCTCCATCCAAGTCAAAAATACACCTTAGTGAGAAAAGGAAATTAAATCCATTGCTATTAATTTTGTAGGTTCTTAAATTTTTCCTCACATAATGCATAAATATTTCAAACTTCTTGAGATACTAATAGTGGAAGTGACTTAAAATTCAATATTAACGACAGCATAGGAAACTGAATCAAATGAATAATGCCCTGATCATCACAACAGGTTTCCATCATTTCAATTAACTATACCAATATTTTCTAAGGTCAATGTGTTAATAAGAGGCTCTTTAAATCATGTGTTAGTGTTACATAGGCAGGAGCTATATTGTATTAAAGAAAGGAGCTGGAAATTGCTAAAACAACATTGAAAGAATTAATAAATCAGGATTGGAAAAATTGCTATATGTTAGGTATATATGACATCTTTGGAAATAGAGAATGATAATTTCAGAGCAAGGTGAACACTGGATTTTGCAGGTACAGTCCTAAGATTTACTGTCATATTTTACAAGTCCAAAAGCAGCTGTATTGTTGGCTCAGGCAGTCGTAATTGATAATATTTGCTCTTAAAGCAAAAAAATCACAAAAACATGTCCTTAAAAATAGCTGGGGGAGTTAGTTATCTGTCAGGGAAGTTAGTAGGCCAGAGACAATTTATCTGGATTCAGCTGCCATACTTCCAAATTTTAGTTAATTATTCTTATGAAGTTGTTTTTATGCTGTTGAAAAACCATGTGAGTTGGTAGCAATCTAAATTTTTGCACCTTGGTGCAAACATCAATGTTCACATTTTCATCATGACTCTGGTCTCTTGACAACAAATGTGGGACAGAAAATCCTGTATACTTTTAGATGACAGTAAGGCAGCATCATACTAATAGAACTGTTTAAGGTCTGCAAAGTGCATCCTTCATGTCAACTCTGTGAGGCAGGTTATTACCAGTATTATCATCTCCATTTTATAGCTGCTGACCAAGGTTCAGAACATGCATCATCATGTAGCTACTGAGTGGCAGAGTATCATTCAAATCCTGGTTTTCTAACTCCAAGTTCAATCCTCTTTTCCTCACTACTTCTAAGAAATGCTGTGAGCCTTAGTTCCTTCGTCAGAGGAAAATGAGAAATATGGGTTCAATCTTTAAGATGATTTATACTGACAACATTTTATGATCCTATGAAAAAGGAAAATGAGTAGTCCAAGAAGTATCAGCCCCTCAGGAAATAAGTATAATGTATAAAAGAGTGGTTTTTTTTCAAACTGGGGTTGATTGTTGGCACATCAATCGAACCCCAACTTTATCCTCATCCTTGCTCCTATTTGATTATCTGACTTCCCCTGCCGACTAACAGTTGGCAGTGGTGTACAGACTGATCCCCTGCTGCTCTTTGTGACCCAATTTAGAGTTTTCTTGGTGAAGATACTGAAGTGATTTCTCATTTCCTTCTTCAGATTAGTCCTTCTTCCATTCTTCCAGATCAGGAAACTGAAGCAAACATGGTTAAGTGACTTCCCCATGGTCACACAACTAGTAAATGTCCGAGGTTAGATTTGAACTCAGGTGTGAATTCTCCTGACTCCAAGTCTAGCCAGCACCACTCTACCACCTACCTACCCCCACAATCAGGATAAGGACTGCAAGTGGCAATACCTGTGTATTATTCCCACTGAGACATTCTGAGCTTCATTCTAACATATGCAACCTGACATGTCAGAATGAATACTGGTGTGCCATAAAAAGTGGAATTTTCTGACTAGAAAAATAGGTTCACTCATAAAAAAAGTAATGTTAAAATTTGTCACCTTCTGCATCAGTTGCATACTGTGCCCTAGGAGACTACCCACCTTGTCTACTTCTGGTCCCAACTCCACCCATCTGCAATATCTGGAGAGGTACTAAGGGTAAATTCTTGGAAATGCCAAGTTTGAAGGAGATACTCTGCAATTTTCTGAGACCAGACCAGAATAACAACAATACCCAGTGTAGGAGGGTCAATCTTTTGGGATTAGGAAAATTTTGGGATTGGGAAAGGGATATCTTTTTCTTTCTCTTTTCTGTAAAAATGAGAAATAATTTTTTGAAACATTCTGGAAGTAGCTTGTGTTAGTCTCAGCTCTGCTTCAGACTGTATTAAATATCTAGTTCGGTGCAGCTGTATTCTGTTCAGCTCTGTACTCAGTCTTTTCAAAGCTCTAAGGAGCTCTCCAGCAGTATTTCCAGTAACATTGTTCCTCTCACATTGCCTATGAGCCACAACCCATGAATAGTTCTTCTATTTCCAAATAGCTTAAATTTTTTTGTTGTTTATTTTCTCATGGAATTCATTGAGTTTTGTCCTGTACATGAAATCATTAGCTTGGGTTATGAAGAACTTATTTTTACAACTTTAAGATGCAATATCCAGAAGAATAAAGATGAGAGCTGGTGGTTGTAATTGTTTTAAGAATCTTATTTCTCTTGACTTCATATACATATGAATATATATTCATATATATTCACAGGTGATGTAAGTGAGTGCTTAAAATCATGTAGCTCATAAGTGTCATGGGACATTTGAACCCATGTCCTCTGATTGTAAAGCCATTATATTTTCCACTGTATCACACTACCTCTTCTGGATGGCACCTCTCTGTATCCCTCCAGCTACTAGTGCCTTCTTTCCAAATATTACATTTTATTAATTTTGCAATTCTGCATGCACTTATATGTGTATATGTCAGTTCACCAGGTAAAATGTAAGCTACTTGAGGACATTTGTTTTTGCCTCTGAATCCCCATGCCTAGCACCTAGTTTATTAACCAATCAGTTGGTTGATTTAAACCACAATCACAAGCAAGAGCTAAGCAGCTGACTAGTGTTCCATGAAGGTGATGAATATAAATAAGGTGAAACAAAATAAACAAACAAACAAACAACTATATGTATCATTCTACATAGGGGCTTGAGTTGTTCTTCACATAAACGGTGACTTTCATATGATTACCTGGATCTGAGCTCAGTTGATTAAAGGAAACTTGTGGTCTTAATTCTCTCATTTTTGAAAATTTCCACACCTTCTCTATCCCTTTTCTGCTCAATTTTCAATCCACTCTTATGTATCAATTGTGTGCTGTGTTATCTACTTCTCTCTCCCAAGAATTGGCTAACTTAAATATGTCCCCCAAATAGCTGCTCATTTAAATTCAAATATCAAAAAATAGTAAAACCCCAAAATGTATGTGGATATGTATGTACATGTATGTATATATGTGCACATGTGCAGATTCAACGCTAGTATGCAAAAAAAGAACTTACTACTTTCCTGAACTTTGTTTTGTAGTGTCACATTATTGAATGAGATCTTGTTATAGCTGCATAAATTTGCTATTCTTTTTAATGTTTCCACCTGAGGCAGATTTACTGAGAGGCAGCATGTTATGGTGGAAAGTATCCTAGGCTTGGAATTAGGCATGACCTGAGTTGAAATTCATGCCTATGACAGTAAGTAGTTATGAGGTCTTGTACAAGTCAATTAAGCTCTTTGAGTATCAGTTTCCTCTTCTGCAAGATGCAAAAATTGATACCTGTTATAACTATTTCACAAATTTGTTGTGAGGTACAAGTAAGGTAATGTGTAAAAAGGACTTCCATGCTATATAGATGTGAGCTATTTTTTTGTGAGGCGATTGGGGTTAAGTGACTTACCTAGGGTCACACAGCTAGTGTCATGTGTCTGAGGCTGGATTTGAACTCACATCCTCCTGACTCCAGGGCCAGTGCTCTATCGACTGAACCACCTAGCTGCACTTGCCTATTTTGTTAAGTAAGCATGTAAGCCTTGGTTTAGAAGGAAAATTTTATATTCTTCATTTCTCCCAGATAAAAACATATTAAAGTAAAGCAAATGATACTACAAGCAGAGAGATCCAGACTTGGGATGATTTTGCTTGGGTTTGCCAGAAGACACTCAACAGTGATAAAATATAATGGAGCACTGGGCTGAAAGACAACTGCTTCTGTGGTCTTAGAACCTAGGATCAAATGCTTCATCTGACCCATTACTACCTGGATGACTTTAGGCCAATCATTTTATTTCCCTTAGCCTCAACTTTCACATCCATAAAATGAGATATTTGAACTTAATCACCCCTGAGGTCCTTTCCAGCTCTAGAACTCTGCTCCTGTCATCTAGAACTATGCTTTCATTTACGATCCTTTGAGTAGACTTAGTCACTGAGCCGATGTTGGAAAAGAGATATCCTTTAGTTATTGAATGTATTGCTAAATGACCCTTGAAAGAAACCCTGTGGCATTTTGAGTAAGTTTAAGGGAAGCTGAGAGCAGCAGTGTGTAACATCACATGGTTTATTAAGCATCGAACATGCTGTCACTAGTAATCTGTAACAGTTGATACCCAAACCATTGCATATAAGCTCTTAGGCAAGAGGCTCAATGATCCCGATGCTTGTGTCTTGTACACATACTCAGATCACCAACAGCAATGAAATAAAACCGTCTATCTATTACACATTATCAGTCACAAATACAGACAATTCTTGAATCACCCTAAAAACAGCTTTTGCAGTGAGAATATATATTAATATATTTGCCACTTCCTGGGCTGTAAGAAAATTAGTTTGCTTACCTTAATTTAGCATTTAACTGGGTAATTGCCTTTGAAAATGATGGTTCCAGTCTTGAGTTTAAAACCACAGCATACTCATTGGAGCAAATGTAATCTGTAAAAAATTCTTTACATCTAGATGTTAATTTTTATTATCCAGACTGCTCTGCTCATGATTTTGCTCTCGTAGGGCTTTTGAATATCCGTTGTTGTAGTTAGACCTCCTCTAATGAACATTTTGACTCTTGCACTTTAAAAAAGGAAATGTCAATGTTGGACATCTCCAACAATAATTTACAACCCATTCAGGTTATAGTCACTCATTAACTGCTCCAGTGGACTCACTTTCATTTCCTTTTATTGAATTAGGAATTGCAGCCACATTAACATTTAGGGGTTTAGTGCTTTAGAGAAGGTTACTCTTTGGATTATTTTCTTATGGTGGGCAAGGATGACCTGAAATGAACCATTCACAATAGGCATGCTTGATTGGTTAAACAGCACTGCTCTCCTAAGGCCATTGGACCTTGTGAGTCCAGAAGGAACTGAAAGAAACCTTATGGAGTACAAGAGAGAGAACACATTTTGCAGCAGGCACAAATTAATTAAATTGGCCTAATTATCCTTGATTCACAATGATTAAAAAGTTGTAGTTTGGTTTGGAACAAATTGTTTTTGAAAGTGGAAAAAACTAAAGCTCATAGCACATCTCTGGAAAATTCTACAGTGATCTGGACTCCATGAGTAGGTTTATAGTCAAGTAATTACATAATGCTATGGGCTTCATTATCAGAGACAAGGACATAAGGTGAGTTTTATTTTGCTAATTCTCTTACTGAGGATGCTTAAAATGGCCTCGTTTATTGCATTGTGGTTTTCCCCTCAATGGGAAATTGGGCTTCATTGTAAGAATAGGGTATGTTGAGGACTATATATAGCCCCTACATTCTAGTGATCTTATTCTGTAGCTCTCCCAGATCTATGGAGTCAATGGGAGATTATAGGCAAGGTGCCTATCCCAAGAGGATAGCCTTGCTCTGGGTATCTCTAGTCTTTAGCACTGAATCTTTTTCAGAGTCTCAGGCCTTCTCTTGCATTAGGTTCAACCCAGAGAGGAAATGACAGCGGAAATGGTCTGCACTGGCCCACAGCAACCATAGATGGGTCATGTCCATACTGACAATCTAGAAATAAATTCCACATTTAGAGGGTTGGAAGGAGAAGAGGGAGAGGGAAGGGAGTAAACATTTATATAGTATCTACTACGTTCCATACACTGTGCTAAGCACTTTTCAAATATTATTTCATTTGATACGGCAACCTATGAAGTGGGTGCTGTTATTATCCTAATTTTGTAGTTGAGGAAATTGAGACAAGCAGAGGTTAATTAAGCACCTTGCCCATAGTCACACAACCAGTATCTGAGGTAAAATTTGAACTCAGTTTTGCATATACAGTAGCTTGTTTAAGGAATTTTTACTGAATGAAATACCTGAATTAAATGAAGATATGTTCTCCATGAGATATCTTTGGGATACCCCTAAAAGTCAATACAGACTAGAAGGCAATCCTCTTGCAGTAGCTATACTGGCCTTCATTTCCTTCTGTCTCATCTTTTCTTATCCTTATCAAATCCTGTCTTCAAATTTGTACCCATTCCGTCTCCTCCCAAGTCTATGGTATTTAAGAAGGGCACAGTAGAAGTTCATGACTGCCAAGAATAGTCTATAATCTCCACAATTTTTGCAAACAATACACTTCAAACATCTTACATCCATCCCCTTATTTTCACTCCACCCTAGTTCAAGCCTTTATCACATATTGTCTGAACTCTTAATAATAAGTTTGTAATTGAATATCTTGCTTCTAGTCCCTTTGAACCCCATCCAATATATCTTCCTCACAGCTGCCAAAATAAGCATGCATCTGATCATGTAACTACCCTGCTCAAGAATTTTTAAGACTCCCCTTTATCTCTGGGATAAAATATGAACTCCTCAGCTTGTCATTTGAAGTCCTTTACAGTCTGGCTCCAGCCTGCATTTCCATTATTTATTTTACATTACTCACCTTTATATACTTCTATTCCAGGAAAGCTGGCCTATTTGTTGTTTCCCAAAATTGATAATTGATCTCCTGACCCTTTGTCTCTGTGCAGGCTGTCTCTGGGCTAGGAATCCATTCCCTCCTCACTTCTATCTCTTTGAATCTTTAGCTTCCTTTCAGGCACTTCCTATAGATAGTCTTTTCAGATTTCCCTAGTAGTTAGGGGGATCTGAATATAATTCCTCTTCAAATTATATTGTATCAATTTATGTATTTATAAATTGGTTAAACAGAACTGCTCTCCTAAAGCTGCTGAATTTTGTGGGTCCAGTGGAAATTAAGATAAAGTACATATACCATAAGAAAAAAGGCACTTCACAGATGGCACAAATTGATTAGATTGGCCTAATATGCTTTGTTTTGCTACAATAAAAATTTACACACTAAATGGAAACCTTTCTCAAGGGTAGGAATTATATTTCTGGGCCTCTACCACAATACCATATTTTAGCACATATATTTGTGAATATATATGTATGTGTGTGTGTGTGTGTGTGTTATATATGTATACATATATATGTATATGTATATATATGTGAATATATGTCTTATATATATATATGCACATGTGCATATATATGTCTGTGTGTATATATTTACATAAAATGTCCTGAGAGAAAAATGAATTTATTCCATATAGTTCTCCTTTTATTGATTATAGCATGCATCATTTTGTATTTTTACATATCTTTCCACATTTTCCTGTATTCATACTTCTATTTTTATAACAGCATGATATTCTTATATGAATTGATGAATTGTCCATAATTGATTAAGTCAATTCACCAATTGTCAGAAACAGATCATTTACAATTTTTTTTGCTATTAACAATGCAGTATCCAATAATATTTTTGGAAGGATAACTCACTTTTTCCTATTTTTGATTTTTTGGGGAATAAGCATGACTAGTTTTGTGATTAACTGTATATCACTTATGGCTCTCCAAAATGTTTCCACCAATCTGTAGTCTAATCATAAATGGATTAAATCAACTAGATTGCTTATTTTCACAATCTTACTGACATAATGATTTTTATCATATTTGATTTTTTTATTCTAATGGTGGTTAAGTTATATGATAAGCTTATCTTGATTTTAACTCCTGTGATTATTAAGGAATTTGAATACCTTTTTATGGTATTGACAGTTTTCATTTCCTTTAAAATGTCCATCCTCCTGTTTTTTGACCATTGCTCTTTTGAGAAATATACATTATTACTCTTGTCAACATGAATCAATCCTGTATAGATTGTGCAATGTCAAAGTTTTAGCTGACATGTTTACTTTAAATGCCTTTCTTCACCAGTCTGTTGTTTTATTTCAATTGAAATATTGGTTTTAGTTATGCAAAACTCTTTATCTTTGCATAGTTGAAACCACTGATTTTGTGTCTGATGACTTCTTCTATATTCAATAAAATTTCCCCTCATAGTTACAATATATTATTCCATTTTCTTCTAGTTTTTAAAATAATTTAAAAATATTTGTCTTATTGATACAGTTAGATTTCATTGTAGTATAAGTTGTAAGGTATAGATCCAAATACATTTTCTCCCATAGAGCCATCAAATTTTCTTAACAGTTTTTATTGAATAAATTTCAATTTTTTTGGCATTGCTGCTGCTTAAGGGTTTTTAAGTAGCTTATTATTCATTCTTAAATTTTTAAAAAAATTTCACGATAACCTCTAAGAGAACAAAATTGCTACATTGAAAACCATATCAGAGGAAAGCTGATATACTGGGTAGAGAACCAGCTTCAGAGTCAGAAATATCTGTGTTCTTGGACACATACTGATTATGTGATCCTGAGCATTGCCAGAAACAATTTCTTTAATGGGAGTTCCCTATAGCAATGACTGTACAGGTCTAGTCCCATCCCACTGAAAACCATAGAATAAATGTAAAGATAGTTTCTATGCTAGTATATAATGTCAAACCTTCTCATTCTAGAAGGACCAGGACCCCTTTATTTTCAGTCTAACAAAATTGATTAGTTTCACACAATACTTGTTGTTTGTTTATTCTGTCATTCATGTTTGACTCTTTGTGATTCCATTAACCACAGCATGCCAGAATATAATATTACATTGGAACCGAATTATTATGGGAAACAGTAAGGGCAATTTTCTCATAGTTAGAGTTCCCTAAAAGTTAGGTGGGCTGCTTTGGGAGTTAATAGCTTCACCACCATTATTGGAAGTCAGAGGTTAGTTGACCTCATGTGGGGATATTGTAGGATTCATGCATCACTATAAGTTGGAATAAATGTGGCCTTTTTGGTTGCTTCCAATTCAGCTTGATTTATTCCATGACAATGACAGGTTGCTTTCACATTTTCAGAAAGCAGGATGGGTTCTAATTCTTCTTGTTTTTAAATGTAAGGACAGTGGAGCAGGCCCTGGATATGTAGAAAGACTCATGTATTGTGAGGCCTGTCATTGTGTGTATGGTTCAAAGGGAAGTAGAATAGACATCTGTAAGCTTTTCTCCCTCAACCCTTTTCTAAGGGAAACTTCCATTCTTTCTTGGAGAGGAAGCAGAAGGTTGGGGCTGGAGGCCACAACTTCACTCTCCTCAGAGAGAAGTATGGTATTGGGCTAAAAGTACATTTATCTGCTACTTTAAATATTTTGTTTGTCTAGGATATAAGACCAGGTTCCATCTAACTTCTGATCACTTAGTCATTTTGAGGGGAACAGAGGAGCCCAGACTCTGTATCCAAGGTTAAATCCCTTCCCTACCTAATACCAGTTGCACAATGAACACAGATAGCAAATGGCAAAGAAATTCATTTATCCAAATCGTAGCAAAACAGAAATCAGAGAAGGAATACATAGGTGAAGAAATATCAGACAATACAGAATGAAGGAGCTTAACTCAACTCAGCCAAGAGAGAGGGTCTTGTGTCTTACCCAAGGGGAAAATCTCCAAAGTCTCTAGAGTAGCAAATTAAATATAGGGACATAGTAGAGACTTCAAGCTCCTCTCATGTGTTCCTGGAGTTTTCTCCTTTAGTAATCTGAAATGGGATTGGCCTCTTCCGTGCCCTCTTTCAAAGTTGGAAGCCAGAAGTACTTTGAGGTATCTCAAACAGGAACTGGCAAACGCTTGAGTTCTCTCACCTCTTA